TTATTCATAACTGTATTTTTAACGGCCTTTTAGTCCAATGTAGAGTGTAGAGCTATGAGGTCGTGCTTGAAAAGGGTGCCCCAAGTAATACATGTACTTCAGGAACAAAAGAATGTGTAATGGAAGAGGTATTTCCATCAGCATGTCTTTTGTTTGGCATGCATTTCTCATTAACAAAGACCTTATTCACATGTCTTTAGAAAAACACTTGCATGGGCAGCCCGCATTCTTGTTATTGATATTGTATTTTTCTTTGAACGACGCACTCAGACTTTCTCACGATTTCTCTTCACAAGGATTCCTTGAAATTACAGTCTTGCCATAACCATATTAGGCTTGTCATTTCAAATGAGGTTTTAAAAAGGGCATTTTAATTCGGAACGAGAAGATTGTCTTTTTAGCGAAAATACGATGAAAAACAATGATATTGAAAGATGCACAAAATTAAATAACATGAATTATCATTTGAATGAATGGTTTGGAGCCAACCAGAAAAATCGGCATATCTTGTGTTTTGACTAAAAGTACCCGGATGAGCATGTAGTAGGAGTGCGCGAACGTAATGTATGGCAAACCGTTTGAATATTTAATTCTATTTCGTGATTTCGAAGATTTGAATTTTGATTTCAAGAATTCCAATATCATAACTACAAACTTGATATCAACAAATCAATTCTAAAGTAAAATAAAATGAATCTTCGCTATCAAGAATTGTATTTGTGATATCAACAACAAAATATTCGTCAGATGAATAGATCAAGAAACGAATTCTAGTTGTCGATAATCAAATTTATTTTTGTGAGTACAGTAGTGAATATACACTGCACGGAAGTTAAGTCACAATGAGACGGAAAATGAACTCGAAAAGTTTGGTTCATAATACGGCTCATTGTGACTTAAAGAGAAGGTTGCTTTCTGGGAAGAGGTGAAAAATAATTTGTGAGCGTTATCATTTTTATTATACAATTGTGGAAGACCATCAGATAAAACAAGTTCCCTGAAAAGCATGTCTCTTCAAATGCTTTCATATTCTAAATATGGCATGTAACACCGTAAAAATCGGGACGGATTTTTACGCCACGCGTCCGTGTAGTCCCATATTCATCTTTCTGTGTACATTGATTGTAACTTTACCAAGACTTGGCCAAATTCCTTATCATTTTGATGATTCCAGAACCTTACAATACACACGAATACTTATATGCTAGCTAGATGATCAACCTTTTCTGATCGATTCCACACCGTTTCTTACACAATGCAATCGCATGACCAGAACTCAACTTCATCTTTAACCAAATGCAGTGCACATAACTAATGTAATAAATAATGTCAAAACATGAATTATTTGTTTTTCAATATAAAGACGAGAATTATGCAACAATTTCTGCATCTTATAACAACGACCTCATTTAAGATAAAGTTGAGTTCTGGTCATGCGATTGAATTGTCAAAGAAAAGGTGTGAAATGGATCAGAAAAAGTTGATCATGTAAGTATTGGTGTGTACTGCAAAGTTCTGGAGTCATCAAAAGCATAATACATTTGGCCCAGTCTTGGTAAAGTAACCGGCACGGTACACAGAAGGATGTATATGGGACTACACACGTGGCGTCAGGCCTACTTACCTTGATTTCCTTATCTTTCTATGCTCATTACTCATCCAGTATACATTTTCTACCAAAATATTTCGGCAAATGACATTTATTTGTAATCTTGAACATTCAGTGTAAGTTTCGTTTGATTCTGTGAGAATTCATTTTCTTTTTTTACCAGAACTAAAGTTTATCATTAAATTAATGAGCAGGACCGTTGTTGCGCGCAGTGATAATAAGGGAGTTTACAGATACAAACTGCGCATGGGCAGATAAAGGTCATTTGTACCAAAAAAAAGGTAAAACCCACCAGAGAGGAATACTGGATATATGCGCTCATGAAAGTTAAGTCACATTATTCATTTATGCACCAACGGTACATTCTAAGATACGCAGGTGGAAGTATTCTTTTCAAGAGGGCAAACAAAAGGTATTCATGAAGCACATCTAGGACTTTGGCAGTTATTATTCTAAGATGCTCAAAGTGGAACTTTTCCATGTGTAAAAGATCTGTGGATATTTGGGGTCATTTGTACCATGTGCTATCTGTAAACTCCCTTATTGGTGTAAATGTTTACAAAAATGCGTCGTTTACCGCGTCACAGCTCCACGAGACTTTATAGAGATGAATGTGAGCTTTGGAAGCAAAAACAAAACTTTGACTCACATAGCGACGTTCTTAAACTATTTTGAAATTTCGTATTTCAGTAGCATTTTAAAGAGAAACTCTCACTACTATTGGCGAAGTATGATAAGGCTCACTTTTATCGATTTTGTCAAAATTGTAAACAGCTGATTGATTATACATTACATTACATCAAGGAGACACTTCAGGACTTTTCAGATACTTATTTCCAAACGAACCAAGACAAAAGTGTAGAGGACAAATGGGAAGAAATTAGAAGTGCAATACTACACACAATGGAAAAACATGTCCCGCACAAGTTTTCCACTAGCCGATTTAACTTACCATGGTTCAATAGATCACTACGTCGTACGATTAAGAAGAAACAGAGATTATACAACAAGGCAGTTAGGACAGGAAAGCCGGATGACTGGGAATCGTTCAAGGCCTTTAGGAAAAGCACCCACAAGCTCATTAAAGAAGCCCGTTCTTTATATGTTAGGGACACTCTTGAATCGGCAATTCTAGAAGAGCCAAAAAGGTTTTGGTCTTACATTAAGCAACTGAAACAAGAAAACTCGGGAGTAGCAGATCTCCAGCAAGGGGAGAAGACTGTAAGCAACGACATAGACAAGGCAAACGTTTTGAATGAACAATTCCGGAGCGTTTTCACCAACGAGCCTCCTGGATTAGCACAGTCCCTTGTCAACAGCCCTTACCAGAAGATTGGACATCTCAACATTACTAGGAAAGGGGTCGAAAAGCTACTCAGCACGCTGAAGACCAACAAAGCACAAGGGCCGGACGGCATTCCACCGTGGTTCCTGAAGATCGGAGCTGAGCAGCTATCTGCACCTTTGCAAGACCTGTTCCAATCTTCCATCAACACTGGAATAGTACCGCAAGAATGGAGAGACGCCAACGTAGCCGCCATCTTCAAGAAGGGGAGCAGGAAGAGTGCTGCAAACTACAGACCTGTCTCGTTGACATCAGTATTGAGTAAAGTCATGGAACACATCATACATAGCCACGTAATGAAACACCTAGAAAATCAACATATCCTATCAGACTTCCAACATGGGTTTCGTGCTAAAAGATCTACTGAAACGCAGCTAATTCTCACAATCAATGATATTAGCCAAGAACTAGATAGAAATAAGTTAGTCGACATGGCAGTGCTTGATTTTACAAAAGCTTTCGACAAGGTCCCTCATCGTCGCCTAATCTCTAAACTACAATATTATGGTCTTGAGGGAGAAATCACTTCTTGGGTGAGAAGTTTTCTGATGGGCCGCACACAACGAGTTGTCATCAATGGTCATTCATCTCTACCTGCATCTGTTACATCTGGCGTACCGCAGGGTACAGTGACCGGCCCACTATGGTTCTTGTTGTACATTAACGATCTACCAAACAACATGGCCTGCACAACCAGATTGTTCGCAGACGACTGTCTGCTGTATACAGCCGTATCAGCTGATCAAGATACCAGCGTACTGCAGAAAGATCTTAGACAACTGGAAAGCTGGCAAGACACATGGCTGATGAACTTCAACCCAACCAAGTGCTGTACCATGACCATTGGTAAGAGAAACCCCCCTCATCACAAGTATAACTTTTGTAACCATAGTCTCGAGAGTGTGTCTTCTCATCCATACCTGGGTGTTCACATATCGAATACATTGAGCTGGAATACTCATACTCAGGCAGCTACCAAGAAAGCCCAGAGAATACAGAATGTAGTCCGCAGGAACTTGTGGAGTTGCAACAAGAAGGTGAAATCAACTGCGTACCTGGCGTTAGTAAGACCGCTTCTTGAGTATGCATCGTCAGCTTGGGATCCCTCTACCAAGCAGAATATCAAGTCCCTAGAACGTGTCCAACGACAAGCAGCCAGATTCTGTACTAGCAACTACAGTAGAGAAGAAGGCACAGTCACCAAGGCACTAAAAGACCTAGGATGGGAATCGCTTCAAACTAGAAGGAGAAACCAGAGACTCGGCATGTTATACAAAATGAAGAATGGACTGGTCGACATTCCTTTGTATAACTGTGTACAACCGAATCCCAGAGAAACCAGGGGGAACAACCAAAAGTTCCTACAACTTCGCCAAAGCTAGAGCCTACCAGGATTCCTTTTTTGTGTCAACCATCAAGGACTGGAATAACCTCCCAACCTCCATAGTAAACAGCCCATCATTAACCACTTTTAAGAACAATCTACTTAAACATTCCCAATAATTTGATTTGAGTCAACCCACACACAGCGTGCTCTGTCTACAAATACGTTAGCGTGGATGTGTCTGGAAAGGACATTTTGCTGACTAAATCATACAGATACAGATACAGATACTTATTCCTTGGAAAGCGTGTTTGTTTGTGTGAATATGTGTGGGTGGGGATCATTTCTACATATCATCTCCTTCAAAAATGTGGGTGTTTTTCGAAATTATCAAGTACTTATACTCACCATGCTCAAACGTAAAATATTGTCAATTTTTTTTTAGTACAATCCAATCGAATAGAATAGACCCTCACCCATAATTACATGAACAGAATGAGCACATTTTCGCGAAATATGAATTACGTGACTGAACACCAACAATAAAATCGGTTTCCACTTTGCATCTCACGACTAAAACACCTAAATGACACGCCTTGGTCGCGTGACACAGTACAATACTGGTGATTGGCTACTAAACGCAACGACGTCATCTGGTATTCAGTCGGTGATTTGCTACTGCTAACATCGGTGGGCGTGGCTTGAGGATGGTGGAGGGAGAGAGACCAGAGCTGGTATGAATATGCACAGTCCTCATAGAACAGTTCACTTGTAGTTGGAACTCGGATCGAGGAAGGTTCCCTGCTAACTACGACTCATATTTGCAGATCGACATCTATTGAATGACCATGATGAAGGCCCAAGTTTTCCTTCTTGTTGCGGTGCTGTCTTTTCGAAAGGGTAAGTGATAGATTAGTATTAATAATCCCGATACGAAGATTCGTTCTAACCCTGGGCTTATGTCTACAATCTCGTTTAACAGAAGGAAACAGGGACTTTTAGATTTGCGTGGACGTGGACGTGTGACGTATTTCTAAGGCACTGGCAGTCACGTGTGACGTCCTTTTAAGGCACTGGCAGTGGCATTGCCTTTAAAGGATGTAAGACGTTGCAGTCCACGTTCTCGTCGTGCAAATCTAAAAGTCCCTAATATCGACTTCCAGACGACTACCTATACAATAAGGTGATAACTTGTATGTTATTATTATTTAGAAGGGGCCGGAATGTTACATACAGTTGTATGGGGTGGTCCTATTGTGGTACATACCAGGATGCGATGCATATGAATCTTGAAGTGACTCAGTAACATTGTTGAAGGTTGTATGAAATGTTTACTTATTATACTCCTTTTAATGTAGTTACCTTCTAACCTGAAAAAAACCTCAAACCAACAAAATATTTATGGTTTTCTATGAATGCTTCACTGGGCAACACTCTCTATATAACAGTATATTCTGAATTTGAATTCTCCCAACCGTTCTCCTTGAAAATAAGACATACACAGGATTTGAAATATCTTTAAACACTTGAATGTCTGGAATGGTATTTACAGCCAATTCATTGATTTGTGATGATTTACATTCACCTAAAATCTAGTTAAATTGTAATTGTAACGGAATCGATCAGATCAGTTATTCCCAATTGTTTTCATAAATAATGGTTTACTCAAACTTTCAGATTATCTTTAATTGTACATATAGCATTGACGTCACTACCTTAGCACCATTTTCTCTCATCTGGAAAATGTTACCAATTTCCTTTAAGGCTCGTTTTGATATGACACGGTAAAAACAAACAATAAATAAACAAACAACTGCTCTTTTTACCGTGTAAACTGAATGCGAAATGCGATCAACAAAGGTTGTACGTGTATTTACTTATATTAGTTCGGTGTTATAAGATACAGAAATGCTAAATGAATTACATCATTATACAAACAAAATTATATTTATCATCCCATATCTGAACGACGCTTTAAGTCCAGGGTACAAGACGTATGATGGCCATTTGGCCATCATACAAGATGTACAAAGACCGTCAATATTACACTATTAGCTTGAATGTGGTACTGAAACTGAGACCAGCATCTTACCCCGTTGACTAGTTAGCTCACACATTGCCTGAAGGTTCAATACAGGAACAACCCGGTACTAGTAGGTACAGGGTTAACAGTCCAGCTACAGGGTCTAAGCTCGAAGTGGATTTTTTGTTGGTGTCAATATACTTCTCTTAAATCTAGTTTATAAATGTTTTTAAGTTTTGTTAGTGTGGTACTGGAACTGAGACTAGCATCTTAACCCGTTGACTATTGAGCTCACACGTTGCCCATAGGTATAATACAGGAACAATGCGGTATCAGGGGAAAATGGTTAACATTCCAGCTACAAGATCTAAGATTCAAGTAGGGCTTCTTTGGTGTTAAGATACTTATCTTAATTCTAGTTTATGAATGCTTGTAAGTGTTTGAATGAGGTACTGAAACTGAGACTAGCATCTTACATCGCTGGCTACTTAATTCACACATTGTCCATAGGTTTACAACCACCCTCTAGGACAACTACCCCCGGACAACTCTCCTAGGGAGTAGTTTTCTGGGGTGAAGTTGTCCTAGGGGTTAGTTGTCCTAGGGGTGGATGTCTGGGGTAGTTGGCCGGGGATAGTTGTCCCGGGGGTAGTCGTCCTAGAGTGTGGTTGCCCTAGGGGGTAGATGTCCTATGGGGTAGTTGTCCTAGGGGGTAGTTGTCCTAGGGGGTAGTTGACTGGCGGTGGTTGTCCGGGGTGGATGTCTAGGGGGTACATGTCCGGAAACGGTTTACTCATAATAGTTGTTTTCGAAGATATATCTTTAATATAATGCACTTATTTCAAAAAGTGCTTGCCCTGTTATGAATTCGAATGACTGAGGAAAATCCGAGGCAATCTGCATCTGATTTTGAATGCCAATTTGGAATGCCCAGTGAATGAAATTGTCGCAAGGATAATGATTTTTAACGAGGGAAAATTATGTCGAATGCATACCCTTTAAGTTGCTATTTTCAAATTGATGTGACTCATTTGAAGAATTTCTTGCACTGAATACAATTCAAAGGGGATAAATTAAATGAATGACCATTTGTTAAATCTATGTTCGTTTTTCAAAGTTAAACATAACACATTTCAAGAGCTTATTGATTAAATAACGAGTTTGATTTAACAAACAAAAACGAATCAGAATTACAATTTGCCATTGCGATAGTCAACTTGAATGCTGTAAAATTTAAATATTAAACCGAATGACCAAATCGCAAAATTGAACGGGAAAACCTATAGGAGAGTACTTTTACAACTTTGAAAGGTGGGAATGCATGTTATGAAAATATTTATTTAAGTAATATCATTTTTATTTTTATTATTAGTATTATTAGTATTAGTTTTGAATATATAGATGAGGGGATTGAATAGATGTTTAAATAAAGACACGAACACAAATAAATAAACAAACAAGAATTGCATTAACGAATTGATGAATAAATAAATAAACCAGAAAAAGCATAAGCAAATTGATGAATAAATAAAATGATGACTGATTGAATAAATGGATAGATGAATAAACTAATGGAGCGATCACAAAGGTTCGTACGAACGATTATTTCGTACGAATCTCCCTGTTTTTGCATTGTCTTCCCGAATTTCGATTGTCTGAAAATCGTTCGTACGGCGTTCGTAGCAGTTTGTAATGCCATTTGTGACCGAGGCTTAACAAATAAAATGAAGAACTTATAAATCTACCTTCCTCACCTTCCACAGTCCAAGCTCAACAATGTTACCAGTGTTCTTCCTACACGGCGGACTTAGACATAAGCACATTCACCAGCATGCTGACATCAACAGGGATACCGCCCTGTGATGAGAATTACCAACAAACTAGCGTAAATTGCAGCGCAGAGGGAGGTTGCCTAAAAACAGACTACGACTTTGAATTCGAAGTGCAAGGACGTGAGTACAATACACCAGTTTATGGTTGTATCAGTGTGCATGCGCAGACAGTTGACCTCGGGTCATTGGCCCTGAAACAAAGCCAATGACCTGAGGTCAGTGGTATTTATGCGTAAATTAAGATTGCGCCCATGCAAATGATGATGTGCGCGCACAATGCAGCGCGTAGGCAGTGATATCATCATAATTTGCATGGGCGCAATCTCAATTTACGCATAAATACATGACCTCTAGGTCATTGGCTTTGTTTAAAATGGCGCACACAACCGTAAACTGGTGAATAGCCATAACTTATGATATTGATATGTATTAAAGCGTCGCTACAAAAGTTACAACTTCATATTCATACCCCTTGTAAACTGTGATGTTTAAGGGTTTTTTTTCGTAACTAAAGAATGAAAGGTGCACTGATAGAATTAAGGCCTTTGTTGAATACTTTTAGATGTAAGCTGTAATATGTCACATTCCCAAGCAACATAAATCGGGACAAATCTATTTGGTTTTAGGGAGCTGTAGAATATGTAGCGTGTTGCTAGCGCGCTGCGCGTATACAGGGCCCTGATCCACGTATGTCTGGCGTTGGTCTAGCGCGCTCGAGCTGCGCTGGTCTGGCGTCCTTTTGGAGTTTACATTCATGCGTCGAGCTCCGCGCACACTTTTGAGAATGTACAATAATCCGGACGCACACAGCGAATGACGTCGAATGCATAGCGTTGGTCCAGCATTGGTTTAGCGCACTCGACGAACGAGTAGCGAAGGAATACGCACACCTTACGCACAACAACGCACTTTTAAAAATGCAAATTTTCAATGCGCGGGCCGTGCGTCGCCCATGCGTCCCCTATGTGTGACCGGTACTTTTGTTGTGCGTTAGGCGTGCGTCATCCTCCGTTACTCGTTCGTCGAGCCAAAACGACGCTAGACCCGAGCAGAGCGCGCTAGACCAACGCCAGACACACGTGAAGCAGACACATCCGGGGGCCTCTACACCCCCCCCCCCCCCCCCATGGTATTCTTCTTCCAGTTGTCTTTGTGTCTCAATCTAATGTATTTGAATCCTGTTTTGGCCGTGAATTATGTCAGTTTTTTTTTTTATTCTGTGAACCTGTGCGCACAAAGCCCTAGCTTTTGAACAGGTTTACTCTCCTTTTCCATATTTGATGATTAACCGGACATTGTGTCGTGTCATTGATTACTATGATTCAGTATATTCAAGTCCATGTTACATGAGGAATGTTTTGTAGAATGTATTATGCTTTATGAGTTTTGCATGGTATGTGAACGAAAGCAACAAAACCACCATCTTTTAACATGTCTCGTTCTGTATTGCAGTGGGTAGAGTGAGCGTCGCACAAGTCATACGGACTTGTGGAGCACCTGCGGACGAGTGCGAGAGCGCCAGCGAACTCGCCATCAACGCCCAACGAGACGTGAGCAACGCCGTGTTTCCCTCTACCATTCAGTTCGTCTCCGGGAGCGGGCGTGTGTGCGTCTGTTCGGATAATCTCTGCAACAGGGCCCACGCAACAACGCTTAGTCTTGGCGCCCTGCTTGCGTCTCTACTCGTGTCTTATATCGCTATGAAACAGTAAAGGGAGAATTCACATTTCTCCGATGGTAGTACCTTGATCTAGTGTGGGGGGGGGGTCGAACCAAGCTTTCTTTAAAATGCTTAAGTAAAAATTCAACAACAAAAAATCATATTCAAGATCAAATTCTAATTGTAATTCTAATTTTTAAGTTTAAGGTTTGTTAGATAGTCCTGTTACCACCCCTGCCCTTAGTACACGTCCGCAATTTGAATTCATATTTTATCTGATCCATTAAGGGGGAAGTCCACCCGGATATTACGTTAAATGTAATAGAAACAGACAAATGGAAGCAACAGATTAGTGAAAGTTTGAGTAGACTACGAATAAAACCAAGAAAGCTAGGGATTGTTGAAGTTGTTATCGATCAAACACATTGTGGGAACTCGGTGACGTGTCTTGCGAGGTCAAGATTCCATTTGCTCTGTACAAAAAAAAAATTACAAAAAATCATAAATTTCATGCACCCTAAATATAATCATTACAACTATCTTTTTGATACAACGGTATGAAACAATTCTATTCCAAAATCTAACTTATAAAAAGAAACATATGCAACATTTTCTGTACAGAGCAAATTGTTAAATGGAGAAAATCTCGTAAGATACGTAACGGTGTTGCCAATTTGTGCTTCAATGATGTCACTAAAAATATTTTTTAAAAACTTCCCATTTTCAATCGGATGTGGCTTAAAGTTTCACTTACTTATTTGTCTCGCTGTTCTGCTTTTATTAATACAAGATGACTACCAGGAAAGACTCCTTTAAACAAAGAAAGTACTTGGATAAGTATAATACGTTCATTTTGGTAATGAGATCAATATTTTTTCATTTATTTTTTTGGTGAGAAAAGCGCAAGGAATACAAATTCAAATGCATAATTAAATTATACACATTATATTCAGAGTATATTTTTAGAGACGAGATTGTTTTAAAATTGAAAACGGTATTAAAAGTAGATGTAATTTACTTATTATTCTGTCGAAAATGAATAGTTGGATACTTTAGTATCACTAGCCCGAATGGTGAATGTTCTGGCGTGGAAGTGCCTGGATGGACGAGCTCAAAAACAAAACAAAACAAGCTTTTTAACTGCATTGCCTTTTCCTCAGTATTATCTTATTCTTATAATGTAACCTTCTTAAAATTGTGATGATTTTTAAATTTTATGTTGAAATGTAATTATTTGGTCTGTATTTATATATTTATGTATATGTATAGCAACTTTAAATGTCCGATAACAAATGTTATGTATTTTTTACATGACAATAAATTATCTTGAATCTTGAATCTTGAATCTTCAATTAAGTCAACATTTTACGTTGGAAAGAAATTGGGATGTGATTTTGAATGTTCTTGATATACGAGTTTGATACATCATTTTTTATGTAGCACAGAGAATTTAGCGAATTTACAAATAAAACACAAAACAATGTAAACAAGATTCTCTCAAGCATTATTTGTTTAGTTTCAACGTTTATTCTTAGAGGTATGTTCTTGCTGAAATATAAACGTTCCTTTACAGGTTAAATTGTAAAGACCTGCTATTTCAAGATCAGCACATTTTATGATATCTATGATTATGTATGGTCTGTCTGTCATGCTTTTTTATTATATATCTTTCGTAAGTAATTTAATAGTTTCTTGTAAATTGGTACGCTTAATTTCTTCAATTTCTATGTCGTATACACTCGCATACGAAGGTAAATACGTTGGATTGGGTTGCCAACTTTATTTAACTCGCATTAAAGGTATAAATGATCGCAACAATTATTTGCGAGTTTTCTCTTTGTATCTATGTTACTTTTAAAGAATATAAAAGTTCCCCGAAATTAGTGTTCCTCAAATGCACTCATATGGTATAGAAAAGGCTGACAAACCTTGGACCACGCTTTCAAGCTTCAGGTTTGTGTTGTCCCACATACGCATTTCTGTGGTGTGCACGTGACAGCAGCAAGATTTAGTCTATTTCTTATCACTTTGATAATTCCGAAACCTTGCAGTTTACCCAAATATTTCCGCAGTACAAGTTACATGTAATCTTTCCAAAGTGAGTATCGAAAGCATTTTTTTTCTTTCACATTGTAATCGCATTACCAGATTTCAGTTTCATCTTAAAATGCAGTTCATTTAATGTGCGCTTAGGATTACTCTTTCTTTTATTAATTCATTTCATTAAGAAAACTTTCAATACTAAGAAATAGTATGTTATCGTAAATAACCCAGGATCGAGGTTTCAAAAACAATGATTATATGTCCATCAGAAAGGGATACACAGCTAATACTGAGCAACGTGCGGAAAAATTACAGATACCGACAAACAGGCATTAATCAGGTTTTTAAAAATTACCAAGCATATTAATCGAACGAATTCTTAAAAGTGTGACTTGGAAATTAGTGCTCATAGCTAGTTGTGAGTTATGATTTGTCATGATACCATAAAGTGTAAAAATTTGACTTCGTGAAATGAATTGTTGTCCAAGAAGTTGGAATGACTTTTTTTGAATACCTCTTTTTATGACGAGAATGAGAAAACATGAACTTCCATATTGTCACAATCATTTAATGAAGAAAAAAAAAACATAGGAAACAGAAAAAAATGGACTTTAATATGGGGCAACAGTGTATAAATTCGAAAAAAATATCCAAAATTAAATAACATCTCACAAAATCTGTTTTTTATTTTCCATTTTATATCAATGGATGGGGGTGTTTACAATAAAATATATAGAAAAAACAATCATCGGCAACTTTGATGTGACCCGCTTTAGTGCCTTCCTGGTTACTCTTCTCTTTTAAAAAATGCATTCTTCGGCTTTTTCTTGAGGGTAGTGTCATATGCGTGTGATTGAAATCAACAAATGTAGTTTTTCACTGTTATTTTGCAACTTGTTGAATAAAATATTTTAGCGAATCAAATCAAAAAGTGTTTATGTCTTTTTATATATTAAAAAACGCCGTACAAGGGTTCTTATTTTCCTTTGAATCATGCGATTTTGTGTATCATGGTGTGATTATTTCATTGGGGATAGTAACAATAAATCTCGAAGGTAGGTACACATAAAATGTGATAAACGTGAGCATTGAATTTGACTAAAAACGTACTTGTTAAAGAGAAAGTTTGCTAAAAACACACGAGATGATTATAAGTGAGGAGGTAAAAAATAGTCAGGAATCAGGAATGACAATATGTATTCAATTAATAGCATTTCAAGCTTCTTCTGAATACATGAACACTTAAACCTTTTAATGGCATAATCGAAATAATTCCAGAAGTTCGGACCTGCAATATATTAAGGTATTTTCGGCAAAGCGTGTTATCGTTCTGAGAAGGTGATAGGAAAACGCATGTCGGGTAGGATAGTCGTGGACTTGATTTATTTTCTTAAACAAAAGTGATAGTGCCAGGGGCAGTTCGTTGTTCGCTGAAGCCTAAATGTAAATTAATAATGTGCTGAACTCTCAGTACTTAACTATCGAAGAAGAGAGGGCTCGAGTGAGTACGATTAAGTACATTGCAAATTGTACGTATTGTTCTTCAAAAGAGCTGTCATGTAGCACCAATTATTGTGTAATCGGAAGCAAAATGACCAAGAAAAACAAATCTTCGGTGAAATGTATCTTAAGGAGGAGAGATATGCCGAGAGTATTTGAGTTTAATTGGATTGCACGAGTCCCTAAGAAGTTAAGATGAACAACCAAATAAGTTAATATCTCCTGCTAACATACTTGATGGTGATTGGGGGTTGCATTTCACAAGTTATTAGGAGGGTGGAGTTAAATAAACGAAATGTATTAAAGACCGTCAATACTACTGGGTCAGAAGGGATAAGACCACACGGCGAGGTCACTGACAGGTGGCTATCTCTTTAACTCAGCTCTCAACTAACATAAGAAAAAGAGGATCATGAGGGACCAACAGGCACCAATTGGGGAAGCTTCCTATATAGAGGGAGCAAGTAGCTACAAGTAGGACAGTGGGGCTTTAAAGGCTTCACCCTCCGTGATTTGTGAGGCTATGCATGCCTACATCCTAACAACTATCCCGATTCAAAAGTCATGGAAATTGACCTCTATGACGTTTGATCCTTGGACATACTTACTACAACAAAATAAGACGCAGGCGGGACATGCAGACAAAATTTAATGACCCGCGATGAGTGAGCCGACTAATGCAAATTGTTAATCTTTTAAAGTACCTCTGTAAAACCCTACCTCATCTTTATTGATATTTCTTAAAGGAAACCTCACCCCAAGAAATAATTTGAACTATTCTGAGAGGTGTATTGTATTCTTGCGCATAAATATGAAGTTGGTGGCGGTGGTTATTTTTTACCAGACTGCTAAGAAAGCATAAATGCTTGTAAGTAACCAACCAGACGGCCAACGGCTTTAGGTCCTCTTTGAGGGACCAGCTGGTAATGAATTAATGATAATAAAGGATTAATGCCTAACCAAAGGGCACTAGCGCATCGACTTGGGTCGAACCCGGGTCACCGGATTCCGAGACCACTGCTCTACCGACTGAGATATCGCTCAATCAACAAGATTCCCCACGAAGCCGTATGAATGAGGCATTCAGCAAGAATAATGTACAGTTTCTCAGCACAAAATGGATATCGCAATTTTCTTGATAACGTGACTATTGTGTGAAGTCTTTTATCAAGTAACTGTTTTCAAATTTACGGACGTTTCTTAAGCAGGGCTCCCACTTAGCCGAGTTGGAGCCTCGAGTTGTGGCGAGGTGGTGCGAGCTTATGACAAGCCGTTTTATCATTAATCATTTATCTCTGTGATAATTATTAAAAAAAACAATAATAATGATAACGACCATAATACTGTGGTTGGCCCGTTAATGGGTTGGTGACTACAAGTTCAGAAACAAAATGAAAACGAAAGAAGCTCGGATATACAGTTAAAGTCCACTTTATTAATTATAAAAGTCAGCCGAAGCTCCAGTAGTTACAAACGAAGTAGTTACAAATGGCATTTAAATACTGCGGCACCCGATGAGGCTTAGATATCACATTGTATTACCAGCCAACCAGGAGGACCCTTACGAAGACAACCAATTACAAGATGAGGTATATACAATTACCCTTAGGTCATCCGACCAATCAAGAGAGAAGTTATACATTTAATTAATTATAACCAATGACAAAGCTTAATAGATATGAGTAATTTGAACTAGTCACCGACAAAAATGGGAGGAGTCTATCTCTTCGCGAGAATGTCAGGTTCCCGGAAAAAGAGTCTATTGTCTCACGTGTTTATTGGAAATGAACACCTGTACATCTTAATGCAGAAATTAATTTCCAACGTGCTTATCGAAATTAACACTTTAATCTAATGCAGGAATTCAAAGCCAGGGGTTGTTTACCCGATCCCGGCATAGTATTGGAAACATAATTAATGCTATTTAACTTTTAAATGTATACCAAGTCAAACTAATAACCGTACAATTAATCAACCCAGCCCGGCTCCTCTTTGGCTCTAGCGCCCCCTTTAGGTCAATCTGTTGCCCAAATCGGCATACCACTACAATACAATTTCTTGTTTTCCATGGGTAGCCTAATCAGTATTAGCTACCGTGAATAGGTACTCAAGTATTCAAGGAATTTCTACCGGAAGTAGTGGCGGACAACTTTCCCATTTGTTCCAAAGCACAATACAACTAAA